AAGATTTACTAGTCTTGACTGCTTTTGAGTCCTTTGTTTTTGAAAGAAAAAAAAGTTGGCTGATGACAAATATATATATATAATTACTGTTGACTATTTTTTGCTATATAGTTTTAATATAAAGTCTATTTTATATTAAATATCTTTAAATATCTTCTTAGGATCATATATTCTTTAGGTACAACATGGGTTTTTATTACTGATCCTTATCTATTATCAACACATTCATGAATCTTCTTACTTACCTTTGCCCCTATAGATCAGCCTAGGGGCTGGTGTATACTACTTGTTCAATAAATATTTATTGAATGAAAGAGTAAATAAGGTTGCATAAAGAAGTTTATTTTCAAAAGACTATACTTAATAAATGTTTGGCATATAGAAACATAGGCAAAAACAGGATTCCTATTGTGAATGTAAGATATGCAAAAACTCAAAATATAATTCTCAATGGGACTAAGTTTTAATCAAGGCAGAATACATTTAATCCTGGTTATTGACTATACATTATTAAAGCATAAAGCCTGGCCTGTGCACTATGAGAGGGCACAGGCCAGGCTGGGGAACACCCTCCCCCACTGCTGAGTGCATAAATTTCATGCACCAGGCCTCTAGTATTTATATAAAAGTCTTACATTGGATGCCTGTGTTAAAATAAGCTTCAGCTATTTTCACAAACACTATTCTTTAGTTCTAATACTTTTATACAGTGGTTGGCAAACTCATTAGTTAACAGTAAAACGATTGAAATTTCTTTTGAGAGCCAAATTTTTTTAACTGAAACTTCTTCTAACGCCACTTCTCTAAAATAGACTCGCCCAGGCCGTGGTATTTTGTGGAAGAGCCACACTTAAGGGGCCAAAGAGTCACATGTGGCTCGTGAGCCGCAGTTTGCCAACCACGGCTTTTATATAATACCACTTTACACATGAATGGTTTCATTTTTATGTTCTCTATTTTATATCTAAAATGTATTCAGTTATTTCAAGGTATGAAAAGAAGTCTCTATAAAATGAGTTCTCTGATTACTATGCCTAATGCCAGATCCATGAAAATTACTTTCAAATATGTATTTTCCTCCCATTCTTCCCGTGTCAGCTTCATTTCCAATAATACACTGAATGAACATCTCCTTTAATTTCAGATTTTAAGGTCATCTTCCCTCTGAAACCTGTGTCTCTTTGCTTATTAGTGGTGGTATTTTCTTTTCAGTCACCCAGACTAGAGGCTGGGGAAGGAGGCAGGAGCAAATGAAGCAGGATAGGAGAGACTAAAGTTAAGGGCTTTTAGCCTCCTAAGCCATTAAGGTTTTTCAGGTAGGAGAATGCCATTATCAGTCTAGCATTTTTTTTTTTTTTTAAAGAAACATGAATATCATGTGGCAAATGGAGAAGGATGCATTAGGAGGCCAGATCGACAATATAGATGTGGAGAAGTAAATTGACTCAACAGGAAGTAGAATTAACCAGATGTCAGGATTGTGAGGATTGGGGAGGAAAGGGAGATTTCAAGGATAGCCCTTAGATTTCTGGCATGAGCAATAAGTGAGTAAAACAATGGGTTCCCTAACATCCACAGAATTCTAGATCTTACAAATGGACCTCAGGAATGTCTCAACCCTGTTCCTTCTCTTACTTTTCCCTGTCATCACTAATCCTTTTTTCCTATGCCATTTATGACCTTCTTTGAGTTTCTCCCCTGTGGATTTGCTTTCCTCTAATTCGGTGCATGGGTATTCTGCCAAAGGATTACTGTGAGCATGCTACACTGCAATGAAATAAGTTTGATGGGTCCCCATTTTCTGCCAATTAAGCATGGATAATGGAGTGCTAAGATCCACCCTCAAACTGAAAATTTTTAATATTCTATCGTTTTTATAGAATTTATCTCTTTGCCACTTCTGATGTGCACCCTCCTCTTCTCTGCTTCTCTGCCCCTGCTGCCTTGGTTTCAATCCACCTGAAACACCTCCCTCCCTCCCCGGGGCCACATTCTCCTTTACTGCAGAGCACACTCCAACCTGATCGATACTGAAGGACCATCTACCTGCAAATGGGTTTTCTTTGCCTCTCTTGTGGCATTTCAGAAATGTCAGATGAGCCTCAGCATTATTTATGATTGTAAGTTTCTGGGGTCTGATTTATCTTTGTATTTCACACAGAACTAGCACAGATGCCTGAACAAAATAAAAGAGGATATTTGTGGAAGAGTGAATAAACATTTAGTGCATTCATTTTTATTTGAAAGAAAAAAAAGGCAATAAAGGCCTCTATTATTGTTTTTAATGGGTTGATGACTCAGATTTATTTAAATATAGGCTTTCCACATAAAGAAAACATTTAAAAAGTAGTTGCTTTCATGTATAGCATTAGTGGGTCCTGCAGTGTGTCTTAGAAAAATGTCACTTAATAACTAAGGGGACAATAAACAAATAATAACTCCTTGTTGGGATACATACCATGAAGGAAAATAAGATCCCAGGGCAGAGGCCCTTATCGATGTGAATTATAATCCATTTGTTTAAAATCCTTCTCCCTCTCTGGAGAAGCCTTTGAGACCAGAGACTATTGTTTAATCATCTCAGTAGCACCAGTGCCTAGAACCGTGCTAAATAATTGTGGAATGCTTGAATGAATGAGGGAGAGAGGGAAGGAGAACTGGCAGGATAGAAAGAGGGAGGGCTAGAGAAGGAGAAATGGAGAGAGGCAGGGCATGAATGTACAAATATTTATTTGAAGTTATGAAGGTCACTGAGAAAAATACAAACTATAACTAAATTAAGATGACTTTAAAATAATACCCGATTAAAAAAATTATATCAAAACTTGGTCATTGGGTTTCCGTGGAAGTGTAATCAAACTGAAAGTTCACCTCTATTTCTAGGGTGGCAACCTTCTGAGAGTAGGAGTGGCTTTGCTTTATTCTTTTAAGTCAGTGTGTTTTTGATATTTTGCATGTTTAGTGGGTTAGATTACAAGAATGCAACCCTAAAAATCTACTTTCTATATAACCACATCCCTTCTTTAGCAGCCAGGGTTGGGAAATAATACTTTGTGCCAGCAAACAAGAAACATAGCAACACACTGTCTTCTTCCTGAGCAGTGTTCACAGTCTTTCTAAGCTGAGCTCACATTTTAAAACATTGTTGTCTACTGTTGAATGGAGTGGGGAAGGAGTGTTTAATTCAGCACCTGTGGCCTATAACTGCCAGTAGATTTCTATATTCAGAGGCATGTGGTATTTTTATGCTCCTTGTAAGGAAGAAACAAGGAAGGTCTTTATCTATCAATATGCTTCTTTGTGAAAATCATTACTATATTTGGCCAACGCCCTCACAACTGTCTTTAACATACTTACTGTTAGTGTCTGTTTGATGTTTCTTTAATGTTAGTAAATTCCACCTCTCATAAATTCCCATGGGCTATAGTAATACAATATGGAATTCGGTTCCTTTCACTAATCTGTACTCTAAACTCCAGAGAGATATTGTTGTAATCCCCAAATAAATGCTTGACATGTGTGGGAAGATTCAGCATGGCAGGCCTTTGGGTCACCTGAATGAAAGTGGTAAAACCATAAGCCAAAGGAGCAGCCAGAGCCCTAGGAGAAGCACAGATTTCAGCAGAGCGCTTGATGTAGAGCTGTGGAATGCTGCTCTGGAAAGACTAAACAGGGAAGAAGAGGGAACCGAAACAGAAAAAGAATGAAATGCACTCACTGGGGTTAGAAGTCATAAGAAAATTTGACCCAACAAGGGTCCCCAAAGAGAGGAATAAATTCTCTGTTTAGTCATTTTGACAAGCAAAGTTGGAAAGTTACATCAGAAAATATAAAACTTTTAACATCACTAAAATACTGAATCTTTTGCACTTAGTAGTTGATCCCTCGGGGCAGGAGACAGTTGTGTAAACATACTGGGGAATTAATGTTACCGTTGAAATTAGCTAGTTACTAATAATACGAAAGGAGCAAAAGGGAGGCCAGACATTATAAGCTTGGCACCTGGACAGCTTCACCAAGGAAACTGCAATTTCACACTCCCCAGGGAACCACCAGTCCATTTCCTACAGACCACTGGGGGAAGGGGTCCAACTAAGAGTAGATGGATGCATGTGCAGTCAAGTTGGGGTGGTGTAGGAAGGTGCCTGTCAGTCTAACCTGGAACAGAGATCATTGGCCACAGAGGGTGGGGCCACTGCACACACACAAAATATTAGAAGGTTAAAATCCCAAGATAAAGTAATTCCCTTGCTCTTGTTCCTCTCTATTCCTCTAGTTTTGCTCCTGCTTCCTTGCATTCACCCATGCTGCTAGAAGCTGTATGACTCACAGTCATGTACTAGTAGACCTCATGCAATGGACAGTTGGACTGTAGCTAGGAACACAAGCTAAGCTAGCCTGATGCTGGTTTGGACTGTATCAACATGGAATGGAAACTCTAGAGAGCAGCTTCTAGCTCTACTGAGGACACAGCTGCACTTCTTCCATGGTGGGAAGAGGGAGAGGGGAGCTTGGAAAGTCAGGGATTTTTATTCCATACAAATAAATGCCACTCATTCTCCTGTGTGAGTCTCAGAAAATTCCTTTTCTCATGACAGTGCAAGCCTCCCACTTTCCCCTTCAACCATTGGGGGACATGGAGAGCTTCCCACCTATAACACTGGGGCTTTAATTGCCTGTTTTAGAAAGAGAAAGAAAAGGAAATGTGTGAGGATGATAGATAGTAACAAGTTTTAAGACTTCCCCCATCAACTGAAAACAAAGATAAATCTGGGGGGTTGAGGGGTAAGGTTTAATTTTTTAGCATAAATTCAGAAATAGCTGTTAAGAGCAACAGATTCTAAATCTATCTAAAAATGCCACATGAGGTCAAGGGCATGTACCTTGGTTGCGGGTACATCCCCAGTAGGGGGTGTGCAAGAGGCAACTGATCGATGATTCTCTCTCATCGATGTTTCTAACTCTCTATCCCTCTCTCTTCCTCTCTGTAAAAAAAAAATGCCACATGATCTTGTTAAAGAGGTAACTTGACAAATTATTTTTAACAACAAAAATACTTGAGTGCATCGTGAAGTCTAACAACTCACCCTTCCATCATTGAGGAGAACTATTGGTCCCCAGCATTTCTTTGCAACACCTAACCAGCATGAGAAGAGGTGTTTCTTGTCTCTCTGAGGCCTGTAGGACCTACTTTTGCACCATTCAGTGTTGGCTAATGAAAAACTGAAGTGATAGCAGGCTGTGACGTTCCTCAGATTCAATGGGGTATGAAGAGAAGGTGACCATACCTTGTCTCTAATTTCTGCTTTGATGAATATGTTGGGGCAGGGCATTTGCATGTTTATAGTTTGGAAGAAGATACGTTTATAAGGAGCATCAGTAGGTGGTTTACTAATTCAGCTGCTCACTCTGAGCAGCATGGAACAGCTCCCTGAGTACTGACTGGATGGAAGAATGCTGCGCAGGACATCCTCCAGCAGCCACCTTCCTCCCTGGCCTCTGCCTTCCAGCATTGCTCACTCTGTCACTCAGTCAACATCCATGTAGGCTTCTAAGGTGCAGGATGAATTTGACTTATTCTCTGCCTGAAAGCTCACATCCCACTGGATAAGACTGATAAATGCCAGAATCTAAGTTCACAGTAATTGCAAACTAGACTTTGTGCTGTTGGTGACAGAAGATCTAATAGGAGGTCAGGTTTGAGCTCATTCTTTTGGAAGGTGAATGAGCATTGCATATGTGCCAAACGGAGTCTTCTAGCCGTGGGTATGGCAATGGTCCCGAGACATGAAAGTCTAGATTCATGTGAGATAGTAGCACCTGCCAATCAGGTGGAATGATTGTATTTTTACTGGTGACCTTCACATGTACTGCAGTGGGGCTCCGGTAATTAGTAAGTCAGTTTTAATATTTTATAACTCTTCAACCATATAATATAATTTTCTTTATTTCACTGTTATTTTCTTATCTAAGGTCAGTAATTTGCCTATAACTATATATGAAAGACATTGAGTAAAACCTCTTCTACTGGTTAAATTTTTCATCTTAATTATCAACAAACAAGTAAGTAAATAAATTTAGATCAGATAGAGTGTCCAAAAAATGTAGTATATGCATTTTGAATGAGTATATAAAGTCAGTGTTTGTTAACATACAATTCATTTTAAAATTGTATTTATTTATTATTTTTATATTTATTAAATTGGAGTGACAGAATTTATAGAAATGAATACTCTTATTGTCAAGGCCTGTTTTCAAACTGATGACCCTTCTGGTCCAGGCATTGTTGATGATGTGAAGCAATGGAATTGCAAACGTCAGTAATCATTTCATTTGGTATTTGTATCTCTTCACTTTGTTGATTGTTGCTATAAACTTTGTCTTTTATGCTTCCCCATAAGAAAAGTCTAGCGGCACTTTAGGATGAGTTTTCTTTGTTCAAAGCTTTTTCTGGCCCACCCATTATTCATATCAGTTACACCTGAAAAGGAGTGAAAATTAAGTGAGTTATCAGCTGTTAGAGCATGCATACATTTTTGAAGACACCCTGTATCTAAATAAATACCAATTCAGACTCTTGAACACCTGCATGCATATAAACACCTGGAGAAACCAAGTGTAAGAAACTAGTTGGTTGTTATATATATTGGCATTGCTCTATTTAAAGTGGTTTTAAAGTATTCTATACCTTTTTCTTGGAAATAGTTTTCTCATCTCTAATGAGAGTTTCTATAAAATAACTGCTTCAACTTTTAATTTCCTTAAATTTGTCTTAATTTTTAAGTTCTTAATCTCAGATTTTTATTTTATTTTACTGTGCCAAGTGTTAAGTTCTGAAATTTAATTTCCCCTTCATTTAAAAAAAAATAACTTTATTTATATCATGTTATATGTTTTCTCAGATTGTCTTTGCCCTATGTCTTTTCCGTTGCATGTTTTATAAAGAACCCCTCCCATTTTTTTCCAAAGAAAAAAAACTCTTCTGTTTTCTTCCTAAATAAATACATATTTGTGTAAATACATACAGGCATATTTGAGATTTGTTAAGATCCAGGTTGGGTAAATATTAACACTTTTCCAAGTGCCTCCTTTACCTGAATATTTTTTAGGGAGCTTATATGCTAAGATACTCATTCTTGATGCAGAATGATGGGATAGAGGCAACTGGGTAAAGATGTGAAAAGGATAACATTGCATAACCTATGCCTAAATGTATTCATTCACAGCTCTGCAAATGACTCAAGGAATACTGCTTTATTTAGGATTTCTCAGTTTGGGATAGAAAATTGAAATGTGTTTTTTTTATTTTATTTTTTTCCAGAAACTTCACATTTTGTAATCTATCTCTTGGATGGTGATAATAGATGGTATCTTCCCCCAAAGAGCCACCTTATATCTGATAGACCTGAGGGTTATCTAGCAATTCTTGTCATGTTGGATAAAATTTATTTCATTATATGCTTAAAACATCACCTTTATCCCATTACGGATTTACATGATGGTTGTTGCCATCTGGTAAACCCTAACCCTGGGTATCACATGGGTAATCCTGAGGAAGACCGAGTCTCATCACTCCCTTCCCCCACAGCTGGATCAGAATTCATGTCTTAACAAGATCCAGTAATTCATGTACACATTAAATTTCAGAACACTGTTCTGCACTTACTATTTTTACTTCATAACCTCCCACTTACTCTCTAATTCATTGTTTTTAATCTACCAGTCTTATGAAAGACATAATGACCTACTAATAGCTAACCACACACACTGCTTCATAGCCTTTGTCATACATTTTCAGCATGTACCATCTTGATGGTTAGTCAGTTCAATAAGGTCTGTCAAGAGTTATACTATTGCCGAAACCGGTTTGGCTCAGTGGATAGAGCGTCGGCCTGTGGACTGAAAGGTCCTGGGTTCGATTCCGGTCAAGGACATGTGCCTTGATTACGGGCGCGTCCCCTGTGGGGGGGGTGCAAGAGGCAGCTGATTGATGTTTCTCTATCATCGATGTTTCTGGCTCTCTATCCCTCTCCCTCTCTGTAAAAAAATCACTAAAATATATTAAAAAAAAAAAAAAAAAAAGAGTTACACTATGGAAAGCAGTTTTATCTCATTTCACCCCAGAAAGCCCTTTTATTGGGCCTTCGCTCTCCCTACATTCCTTGACTGGAGCAATCATGCTAACGGACCTAGAAATCTTATTGCCATGAGAAGGGACTAGGAATGTGTAACCTGTGAGGAATGTCAGGGATACAAAGATTGTTGTTCTTAAATGTCTAAAGGCTTTTGGACTCAAAGGAATTTTTTTTTTTTTTCAGTGTAGGTTTAGGAAAGCAAAAGTAGCAACAATGAATGAGCAGACATTAAAGAGAGATAGATTTTGCATGTATATAAAAAAGAATTTTTAAAAGAATTTTAATATTTCAACAATGGAATGTAATTCTTCCAACTACTTGTATTTAGTAAGCTGACTATCCTTGGACATCATCCACAGAAGTGCTCAATCCAAGGCCTCAGGGAATACTGAAGGGTTCACTGGAGAGAGAAACAAGTGGGTGGTTTCTGCACATTCTTCTAATATTTATTTTGTTGTTGCTGCTGCAAAAAAAGAGAAAGAATGCTACTGTGCATACTCTATTTATTTTTCCCCTCTTAACCAGTAATGATACATAGATTTTTTCCCCCCTCCCTTTCTTAGGAATTAGAATGCTATATGGTTGTCTCTGTATGGGCCACAGCTTTCTATGAGGATAGTGATTAGGATGCATACCGCTTCCAATTTCATATCAGTACTTTTTCTGTGATGTTCAGTGCTTTGTGATCATTTTATTCGAAGGAGACAGTTGGGCCAAATCTCTAGTGAATGGTATTTGGAAACTCCTAGATCTCTAAGTTCTACTTATATGTTGTAACTATTAGCTCATAGTCAGATATAGTATCATCATTTTGATCATCACAGACAAACATATTTGTATTTTTGTGCCCATTAAAAATGTTACATTTTTGCATTGATTCCCTTTTGCCTAGTTCTTAAAACATAGACATAGGGAAACCTTTTTAAGTTAAATGTTAGGCCATTAACCTACTGTTTTTTACCATGGATATGTGTTCTATTGGGGAAGTCAAGAATTTAGATACTAATCATTTTAGACATATAACGATCCTCCAAAATGTTTCTATCTTTCCATCTTATTGCTGCCTCCCCAGTTCAAATATCTTCATCTCACACCTGGAACTATGCAGGGGCCTCCCAACTTGTTTCTCTGCTTCTGCCCACTTCAGGATGTGCTCACCACAGTAGCTGCCTGATCCTCTACAAACTTAAGTCTCATAAGTAGACATCCCAGAATCAATCAGGGTTTAAACCAGAAAAAAAAACTTTAGAGATCAACCTGATTTTAAGTTATTAATTTGGAATGTGAGTAAGGAATCATTGGGTTCCATCTACCGCTCTTGATATTATCTGCTACAGGAAAGGACTGAGAATACATTCCTTTATTGAAAATATCATTGCAAAATAGCACACACAGATACAAAGTCGTTCTTGTGTGTGTCTTCCCTTTTTCTCTGTGTGGAGCTGGAAAGCAGTGAGCCAAAAAGGCAATAGAAATACGCAGAATACCTGCAGAAAAAAACAGAGGCAGAAGCAGTGGCAAGAGCCAAGCTCATAATTAAAGGGATTCTGTTTTCAAAGTCCACCTTGTAAATAGGGGTTTGTGATTGTCATGATCAAGATTGTAGGTGTGTTTGGATCATGGCATCCCTGTATCCCCAGCTCAGAAAACTGAGGGAGAAAGAGCATGCAGTGGGAATGTTGCCAGCATCTTCCCTTCCCACAGCAACCCGAAGCTGAGAGCTGGCTAGCCTTTCATCTAACTCTGTGTGCCTGGATAAAAACCTTTTCTAGGCCACAGCAGTGTTACTTCATTACTGAAAAGCGTGTTCGTGTATTGAGGGTGAGAAATTGAAAATGAAGGGAAACCAGTTATTTTCCTTCAACTTTATATATTAGTGACGTACATGATTATAATTACATTTATTCCATTTTATTTTATTTTTAAACATATATATATATATATATATATATATATATATATATATATATATATATATTTTATTTCAGAGAGGAAGGGAGAGAGAGAAAGAGATAGAAACATCAGCGATGATAGAGAATCATTGATTGGCTGCTTCCTGCATACCCTCACTGGGGATTGAGCCCACAACTTGAGCATGTGCCTGGAGGGAATGAACAGTGATCTCCAGGTTCATAGGTTGACACTCAACCACTGAGCCACGTTGGTTGGGCTATTCTATTTTCAATAATCTGATATAGGAAAAAAGAAAAGTATCTATTCAACCAACTTAAAGAAGCTTTTCTAAAGAGAATCTATAACATGCAAGAGCTCCAATTAAATTGCTCAAAAAATAAAAATATTTATTAACTGCCAAGTGTATGCCAACAACTACCCTGTTAGCATTCTGGAGAGGAAAAATTGAGTTCCATCCAAACAGGCTTACACTAGTTTTCATTAAAAGAGCCATTTATTTCCATTAGTATGCAAATGAATATTTGTTGCCAACATTTCTAAGGAGATACAAAAATGGTCACAGTGCTGAAATAAGCAGCCTGTGCTTTGCTTGGGGGCTGGAGGGAAGGCGCAATGGGGGGATGAGGACAAAAATAAAATTACATAATATATAAAGAAAAAAACAAAGTGACAGTGTATCAGCCACAGGCATATCATTAAACACACACACACACACACACAAACCAAGTCGCATAGTTGATGGATGAGTGAGCGCCTTAAGTCAGCTTCCTTATTGACAATTAGTCACCTGATTCTAAAGTCCCTGATGCGTATACCACACCTCTGTCCAACTAACAGGATTTCTGGAGTGAGTCCTTAGGCTCAGTGTTTTGGAAAGCTCCTAGGTGATTACAGCACGCAGCCAAGGCTATGAATCTGTAAGGACGAGACCTTGGAGCTGCTCTTCATGCAACCAGGACTCCTAGGTGTGTGCTTGGTGAGGTTTGTGCAGAGAAGGTGTGGATGCCACTGCGCACTGAGGCATTGCTATCAGAGTGGAGCTGTCAGGTTCCACATTGTGGTGACATAGACTGGCTCCTCCTTCCAGCACAATCTTAGAATGTCTATGGGTGCCCTGTAGCTTCTGCCACAGGAGTTCTCTTTATAAACCCTGGGTTCATCAACGCAGCCTTTTTTGGGAGAGGGCTGTCCAGGAGTCTTTTTGTTACTATACTTCATTTTTTAGAGCCATGTTCCATAAAAAGGCAGTGTATGCAAAATGGCCCCCAAATGTCAAAGGAGCCGGGGCACCAAAGCTTGAGGGAGACGAGTCCAGCTTGTCTGTTAATGAGTTAAATGCAATCAGAGATGGCAGCAGGATGGTCAGATGTCTGCATCTTTCAACCCCTGGACCACCTGCTTATAGCCCCATAGAAATGAACCTACTTGAGAAAAGACTGTGTGGCTGATCAGAGGGAACAAGGGGATTAGCAGCCAGGAGGCTGTAGCACCAAGGTGCATTAAGAGATAGATAACACTGAGGGTGCCTCACCCCAGAGGAAGGGTTAATGGAAAATCCATGATTAGCACATTCTAGAATCCAACCTAGGGGTAGGGGAGGTAGTCAGAGGTCCCTCTTCAATTAAGATGATGGATTAGCTTTGAGCTTAAATCTACTTTTGAAGATGGAATCAGCTCTGTCCACACAAGCATTTTAGGTTCGCAGAAAAATACAGAAGGCACAGAGATTTCCCATGCTCCCACCCAAGCACAGCCTCCCCACAATCAAAATTCCTGATCAGAATGGTGCATTTGTTACAGTTGAAAAACCTACATCATCATCACTCAAAACCCACAGATTACATTAATGTTCACTCTTTCTATGAATTTTAAGAAATGTATAATGACATACGGGGCATTGTAGTATGTTACAGAGTGGTTTCAGTGCACTAAACATCCTCTGTTCTCTGCTTATTCATTCCTCTCTCCTCCCTAAGTCCTGATGTCTCCGTAATTTGGTCTTTTCCAGAATGTCATATGGTTGGAATTATATAGCATTAGCCTCTTCTTACTGCCTTCTTTCATTTAGTAATATACATTTCAGGTCCCTCCGTGTCTTCTAAAGGTATAATAGCTCATTTCTTTTTATCTCTGAATAATATTCTATTGTCTGAATGTATCACAATTTATCCATTTCACCTACTGAAAGACATTCTGGTTGCTTCCAAGTTTTGGCAATTATGAATAAAGCTTCTATAAGTGTCTACAGGTTTTTCTGTTGGGTAAATGCCAAGGAGCATGATTGCTCGATCATATGGTTAGAGTACCGTTAAAGTTTTTATTGAAACTGCCAAACTTCTTCCAAGCTGGCTGTGTCAGTCAGTTTACCTTCCATCATCAGGGAGTGAGTTTCTGTGCTCTGCATCCTCACCAGCATGCGGTGTCAGTGCATCGTATTTAGCCATTCTCACGAGTGTGTAATGCTATCTAATTGTTTTCATTGCAATTCCCTCATGACATGGTATAAAAGATTTTTTCATATGCTTACTTGCCATCTATATATCTTCTTGGTGACATGTTTTTTCACATCTTCTGCCATTTTTTAATCTGTTTTCTTATTTTTGACTTTAAGTGTATATATGTTTTGGGTGACAGTTCTTTTTCAGATGTGTCTTGAAAATAGTTTATTCCAGTCTGTGGCTTGTCTTCTAATTCTTTTGAAAGTGTCTTTCACAGAGCAGAAGTTTCTAATTTTAATGAAGTCCAGCTTATCAGTTATTTCTTTTATGGATCGTGCCTCTAGTGTTGTATCTAAAAGTCATTGCCATACCCAAGGTCATCTAAATATTCTTCTACGTTATCTTCTAGAAGTTTGATATTTTTGCTTTTTACATTTAGGTCTATGATCCATTTTGATTTAATTTTTTGTCATTTAGGTCTATGATCCATTTTGAGTTAATTTTTTGTGAAGGGTTTAAGGTCTGTGTCTAGACTTTTTTTTTTTTTTTTTTTTTTTTTAATGTGGATGTCCACTTAACCATATATATATGATGTTAGCCGTAGGGTTGTGTGTTTTTTGTTTTTTTTTTGCTTGTTTGTTTGTTTTTTGTAGACATTTGAACACAGACTTTTAGTCTTTTGATTCAGTAGCAAATTGTGGACATTGTATTCAGGCTTTCCCAGATGTAAAATTCTCAATATAAGTGATTATAATTGGAATGTTATATAAAGAGTAATTGCAGCTTTGTGCCTATATCATATGTGTGTGTTTGTATGGTAATTTTATAGGGAAAAGCTTACAAGGAGCTACACCAAAAGATTTGTTGTAACCATTTCCCTGTTGTAAATTTTATTTATTTATTTTTATTTTTATTTATTTATTTATTTTAATATATTTTATTGATTTTGTACAGAGAGGAAGGGAGAGAGATAGAGAGCTAGAAACATCGATGAGAGAGAGTCATCAACCAGCTGCCTCTTGCACATCCCCTACTGGGGATATGCCCGCAACCAACGTACATGCCCTTGACCGGAATCGAACCCAGGACCTTTCAGTCCCCAAGCCGACGCTCTATCCGTTGAGCCAAACTGGTTTCGGCCCTGTTGTAAATTTTAATAATAGATCATTTTAGTATGTATAATAATTTATTTCTTTGATATTGAGGACTACATATACATTTTAGAGTTGACAACATTTAAAGTTTTATTATTTGTCTGGATATATTATTTCACAAAATTAATAAAGAGGGTCACATTGCTGGGGTCATATTGATAGCCCATTGAGCTTTAGCTTCAGAAACCTTATTGATAGAAAAGCAATTGCATTATGATAATGGGCTATGGTAAGAGTTACTGGGAATTTAACATGAGGAAGTAAATAGTGGCTCATCATTTTCATTTAACTCTCATTTCTAAAAAGAAGTTAAAAAATGTAGCACTTCTGGCAGAAAATTGCTGCTTTGTTGTTGAGCACTCAAGCTTTTTTTCACAAGTCTGCTTTATTTGTGACAATAGGTACAAAAGGAAAATTTGGGTAGTTTAAGAAAATATTTTCTTTAATGCTCTTTCTAAAAGCAAGCTAATATGAAATCTATTTCAGGAATATTAGTAAAATGTAGATTACTAGTGGTAGAATTATGGATGGTGGAATTTGAGGTATTTTTTCTGTTACTTTTTTTTCATTGTCTCAATCTTGCTCTTCAAAAAATCACATGGGAGTAGAAATGGCCATGGAGAATACAAGTCTTTAAATTTGGCTGCCTGGTTTAAACCAGTTCCCAGACAGCATTTGGAACTTTCAGTTCAAGACTGAGGGGCACATGGTCTGCTGTAAAAACAGCTCTGGCTTGTTGATGTCAAAAAGAAACTTGACCCTGGATAGGTATTTTCAGTAAGAAACAGCAGAAACATGAGAAGACAAAGATAAGCCCTGGGAAGGAGATGTATTATAGATTCCAAAAAAGGAAAATCAAGAGGGGCATGGTAAAAAGAGGGACACACACACACACACACACACACACACACACACACACACCAACAGTGACCAAAGAAAAGGTAAAAAATCC